ATTATGAGACTCTTGTGTGTTATGCATGTGATCTTGTTTTAGGTGTGTATGAATATGATTCATGAAATTTCGCTTAGAGTACCAAAATCCATACATGATCCTCCTTTCGTGGTTCCGAACCATATGGAGTTAGTAATCTCATGGATTATGAATGGGGTGTATCCTTTATAGGTGAATTGTTGTTGCTTATCACTATCCCTTTTCGTGGTTGCCTTTTAATGATCCGTGAACGGTTTACAAGTTCCTTAAAAATTTACTGGCGGCTCCCTACTTTATTTGTCCCTAATTGCTGTCCCTAATCGTATAATGTCAATTCCCACTTCCTATGATTTCTAAGCATATTCAACCATGCTTAAGTAGGAGCGTTTCGAATAACGCCTACAATGATATTTATGTTAAAGGAAAACAAACTCGTACATCCTACAAGTCTAAGATGTAACACCCTAGAAATTCCGTTCTTTTAAAATACCTATTTTGGTCTTTTTAAAATATGAAATAGGAAAATCTAAGACATTCCCGCCACCATGATAACGACTAAGGCAATTATCAAAGACACAAAGCAAAAGACTCACTTTAAACCAACCAAAATAAGTCAACTTAAAAGTCAAACCAAACGAAAGTAAAATCAAACCAAAGTTGAACGAAGTCAAACATAGTCAACCTACAACTTAGAACTATTGTAGGCCTTTTTCAAAACCCAACAAATAATAAAAACTTTTGCGTTAGTCTCACAAGCAAATATATATAAAAATCAAAGTAAATAAAACAAATCATATTCTTACGAAAATTAAATAGGATTCGCTCTTAACTCATGCCCATCATGAATATGCTCCATCACCTTAAAAGCTTCTCTTTACTTTGTCCCCAGTATCCGCCATTAGAAATGGGTCATCGTAGGGCCAAGATAAAGACAAGGCCAACAAACATACCATACACACAATCAGCAATCTTGAGTACATAAGCGCAACATTACGCACTAACATGCTTTCATCCTAACATCAAATAACTTACCTTGTTGCACTTGTTTTACAAGTATACAACATCCAACACAATAAATGAATAAATAAATTTCTTATTTAACTTGATTACTCATCAAACGGGTTTCCCACCAAATCCCTGTCCCAAAGAATTGGGGTAAACTACTTCGGGAGCTAACCGGGTAGGCAAAAGTGTCACTTGTGAGTGACTGGACGTCCTGCGCATGATAATAAAAGGAAAATATAGCGTCCTATACTCCCAGTAGAAGCTATGGTTAAATATAAAACCCCATAACTCCCCCCATATGTTCATACTCGAGGTATATACGTTCCAAGAGTTTGGTGCGTAATCTCTTTCACTTTACGTTGTTTTACATATTTTAAACTTGGTGATGACTCTTAATTTACAACATAATCAATCAACATAAATCATTTAAGTAATCAAACATTCTAATTCAATTCTTGATTATTTAGTGATCACATATAATTAAATGTTGAATCCTTTTTAAACTACCTCGGTGTTGAAATAGCTTAAGTGCATAAAGCACCGCAAATCCTTTCCCTCGGTGTTTTAAACACCTTAAGTGCACTTAGGCACCGCAATATATTTTATTCCAGTGTACTAAGACACTTAATAGCTTAATTCCCATGCTTATAGCATCAATTAAAATTATATGAACCATAATAAAAGTGTGGTCTATATTTAACATGTCAACATAATTAATTTCGATCAATAATTCACCTCAAATAATTCATACCTCACAAATCAATCACTAAAAATTAGTTCAATCAACAATTCCAACCACGACCTATCATGATACTACCTTGAAATTAATTAAACAAAGCCTAGCATGCTTCTACACACTTAAATAATTACCAAGTACACGAACGTACCTTGAATATGATCTCAAGATTGCCACGACTACACAAAATCACTCACTTGGAAGTCTTCTACAACCCAAAATTACAAAGAGACATTAATACCTATTCATAACAAAATTCTAGCAATATAAACACTCTTTAAAACACTTTAAAACCTTCTAAAACATGCTGAAAATTAGTTAAAACCTCCTACTTTTATTCCCAATTAATGGATAATTAAAAAATCCTTTCAAGAAACATAATTTTAGCCTCTACATAAAAATTCCATCATTATAAAAACTCCTAAACTTGCTGTAATTTAGTTTAAAAACATTAATTTCAATAGTTTTAATCAACCACCAATAAATTCCATCAATAAACACCAATTTAGAAACCTAGGGTTATCAATTTGGGGCTTTTTAATTCGAAAACCAAATCTGAAAATTATATACATATTTATCATTATTAAAAAACCATAAAATCATCACACAAGCCCCAAACAATAATTGAACAAGGTTGGTTTAATTTAACGCAAAGAGGAGTATTTTTTGTTGGGGGTTGCGCACGCACACACGGCAGAGGCTGCTGCCGCGCCGCCTGCCGGTGGCTAGCTACAACCGATGCTCGCTAGTGGCGGTGATCGACTGGTGGGTGGCTGTGGTGGTGGCCGGCCATGTGTGTGTGTGGGTGGCGTGAAGGTGAGTAAGCAAAAGGGAAAGAGGGAAAAATTAGGGAAAGAGAAAATAAGTGGAGAGAAAGAGAGAGAGTTTACCTTTAGGTATTCTCCACCTTGGGCAAAGTCTCAATTTGCTCATAGATGGGTATTTATACTTCCTCTCAAAACCTTCCTAGCTTAACTTTCCCTTTCTACCCTTAATGATTCCCACTCCTATTATTCAAAATAGTCATTTGACTTTCTTTTAAAGTTCTATTGACTTTAAAACTTTCTTTTATAAATTAAATATGCCCCAAAGCTTTTAAATGATAAATTAAAATATTTTCAAAACAAATAAATAAATAAAAATGGACTTTTAATTAAAATAAGCCATTTTAAATTATTAAAATACCATAAATAGTTCATTTCGAATTATTTAAGTACTTCATAAAATAATGTTTTAAATTAATATATGTATAAAAATACGGGGTATTACAATCTACCCCCTTAAAAGTTGGGTAACGAAAAATCAATTTCCATACTCAAATGAATAAGGAAATACCAACTTTTGAAAACCTTTCCCTAACTTTGTGTAATATTGTTGTACTCTTTTGATATAATTTTACCTTTAATGTCTCCTTGAAATCAAAAGTACTCGAAATAACCGCTAAAGATGTGCAAAAAGCACTAAATTAACTTAAATATAGGGAAAAAGCGTGAAATTCTACCGCATTCTACCCCCTTTATAGAAAACGAGTTACATCCACGTAACTCAACATACCTTAAATAACTCAGGTTATTTCTTTGTCATCTCATCCTCAGCTTCCCAAGTTACTTCCTCATATTCTTGATTAAACCATAGCACTATAACAATCTTAACTTCGTTGTTGCGTGTATTACGCACTTTATTGTCAAGGATCTTGACAGGTCTTTCCTCATAAGTTAATCTTTGATCTAACTCAATTGTTTCAGGTTGTAGCACATGTGACTTATCGGGTATATACCTTCTTTACTAAGACAAATGAAATACATCATGTAACTTACTTAGCTCCATAGGTAAGGCTAACCTATAAGCTACTTTGCCTATCCTCTGCAATATCTCATATGGTCCAATGTACTTTAGGCTAAGTTTTCCTTTCTTCCCAAATCTCATGATACCTTTCATTGGTAATACCTTCAAAATACTTTGTCACCAACTTCAAACTCTTCTTCCCTACTGCATAACGCTTTTGACGGTCTTGTGCTGCTTGAATCTCCTTTAATTGCTTGACTGTATCTTCGATCATTTGAGGCCCTAACTTCATTGTTTCACTTATGTCGTTCTAACATATAGGACTACGACACTTCCTTCCATACAATGCCTCAAATGGAGCCATACTAATGCTCGCATAATAGCTATTATTATAAGAAAATTCAATTAAGTCCAACCTATCTTCCCATCCCCCTTCAAGTTCTGAACATAACTTCCAAGGTTTGAATAGTTCTCTCAATTTGTCCAGCTGTGGCAGGGTGAAATGTTGTACTTTGTACCAAAGTTTTCATAAACACTCTTCCAGAACTTTGAAAGAAACCTAGAATCTCGATCAGATACAATATCTTTTGGAACTCCATGTAACCACTACATTCTTGATGTAAGCTTTTGCAAGTTGCTCCATCTTCCAGGTCTCCTTCATTGGTATGAACACTGCAGATTTGGTAAGTCTATCCACCACGACCCAAATGGTATCATTTTCACTCTTTGACTTTGCGAGGCAAGTCACAGAGCCCATCGAAATGCAATCCCACTTCCATCCAGGGACCTCCAATGATTGCACGGTTCCCAGAGGTCTCTTGTGCTCTATTTTCACCTTTTGACAAGTAGACACTTTGCTACAAATTGCAACTTCATTCTTCATTCTAGGCCACCAATACATCGTTTTTAGGTCTTTGTATAGCTTGTCCCCTTCAGGGTGTACTGAGTATGGTGTATTGTGCCCTTCCTCCATCAATTTCCTTTTTAATTCCTCACATTTTTGTGGTACACATCATCTACCTTTATACCTTATGCCATAAAATATTGTTGGTTGAATGCTTAGATTCGCAAGTATACCTACAGGTACTCCCCATTCTACTACTTCTAAGTTTATTTTGCTCATTTCCCTACATAAATCATCGGCCACTATCAAAGTGTTCAGCCCATGGCTGGTCTTACGACTTAGAGCGTCTGCAACTACGTTCGCCTTCCCTTCATGACATTGTATATCTAAGTCATAGTCTGTTGCGAATTCTAACCATCTCTTTTGACATGAGTTTAGATCTCTCTGGGTGAAGATGTACTTCAAACTTTTGTGGTCAGTATAAATTCTACATTTCACCTCATACAAGTAATGCCTCTAAATCTTTAGTGCAAAAATGATTGTAGCTAATTCTAAGTCATGAGTAGGGTAGTTTACTTCATGAGGTTTTAATTTTCTTAATGCATATGCGAGCACCTTTCCATTCTGCATAAGCACACATCCCAGACCATTCTAAGATGCATCACAATACACATCGTAGATCCCACTATCATCTGGCAATGTTAGAACCGGTGCCGTAAACGACTTTTGCTTCAAAAGTTGAAACGCTTCCTCACACTTCTCATCCCACTCAAACTTCTTGTCCTTCTTCATTAGAGAGGTCATAGGCTTAGCAATCCTAGAAAAGTCCTTTACAAAACACCTATAATACCTTGCTAAACCTAAGAAACTCCTGATGTCAGACACCGTCCTTGGCGTAGGCCATCCTTTCACTGCCTCAATCTTTGCTGGATCTACTTCTACCCCATACTTGGATACAAAGTGACCCAGAAATGCTACCTTCTCTAACCAAAACTCACACTTGGAAAACTTCGCATAGAGCTTGTTCTCCCTTAAGGTTTGTAAAACTGCCCCCAAATGTTCCACATGTTCCACATTTCTTCAGGTTCCATTCGATATGGTGCCTTGGAAATTGGTGTTGTCCCTAGGACCAACTCTATTGTGAAATCAATTGCCCTCTTAGGTGGCATTCTTGGAATCTCTTCTGGGAACACATCCATAAACTCATTCACCACTTATATGTTCTCAGGCTTAGTTGTCTCTTCGTGTTCCAAGTTCCTTACACTACAAAAATGTACTGGATGTCCCTTCCTGATATACTTAGCCAATTTCATCATAGAGATGATCCTGGAAGGAATGGAGTCCTTCCAATAAGTGTATTATTCCGATAGGGGGTTTAGAATTATTAGAAAGCTAATTTTTCAATACGATCAAGTGATCGGAATGCCTAGGTGGAGGCCGCTTCCGATCAGTAAAATTAATGTACAATTAATTTTACAGTTTAATCTTGACTGAACGCTTCGGGTCGAACCAATCGAACAACCGATCCGAGGCGATGAATCAATCCGAAGAATTTGATGAGTCATCTTTTACGAACAAAGATGCTGGATATCGAGCTTAGAGCGTCGAGACCGAGCGTCGCAAGTCGTGTCGAATTTAGAATTCGACAAAACGGAAAAATCAATTAAGTTACAAGTTTGAGTCATGCCGTAGCCTCGCATTGGCCTAGCCATGCGAGGGCTAGGCTAACTCGAGCTAGCATGCGCGTTGCAAGCCTACCAGCCATTGCAAGGCTAGGCCTTGCTAGTTTGCTAGGCGCTGGCACACAGCTAGCCCAGCAGCCATCGCAAGGCTAGGCCTTGCTTGCTTGCTAGGCGTTGGCGCACAGCAAAGGCCAGCACCATCGCACCACCATCGCTGCACGTGCGTGTGCGTGTGCGTGCTAGGCATCAAGCACCATTGCAGGCCTATGCATGTGCGTGTGCGTGCTAGGCACCAAGCACCATCGCAAGCCTATGCGTGTGCGTGTGCGTGCTAGGCATCAAGCACCATCGCAGGCCTATACGTGTGCGTGTGCGTGCTAGGCACCAAGCACAATCGCAGGCCTGTGCGTGTGCGTGCTAGGCATCGCAGCACCACGCAAGCTGTGCGTGTGCATGTGCGTGTGCGTTCTAGGCATTACAGCACCACGCACCAAGCAGCCACATGTTAGGCTGTGGGTGTTGTGCCTAGCGATGGCGCGCCCAGCAAGCACGCGATGCCTAGCATCAGTGCCAGGCATACGTGGCTTGCTAGCAGCACGCATGCACTGGGCTACTGCTTGTGCTTGCGGCCTGTGCGTGTGGGCTGGCTGGCTGGCCAGGCTGCCTAACCTTGGTGCTAGGCGCCAACTGGCAGCCTTGGCAGCCAAGGCAGGCTGCCAGCCAGCCACATGGCAAGTGGTCCGGTTTGGCTTTGTGGGGACCAAGGCATATTAAATGCCTTGGGGAGCAAGGTGGTTGGTCCCCCCTCCTTGGTGGTCATCACCTTCTCCCTCCCTTCTTGTCGCCACTTGTAACTTATTGATTGCATTCAATTTTTTTTTTGTTTTAATTAAAATAAAAATGGGAAAATTGCAAATCTCCCACATTGATCATGAATGGGAGTTCAAGGGTTTATTTCCCTATAAATACCAAGATTTTTGGATTTGGGAAGAACACTTGAGTGGAACTAAAAAGGCATCTCCTTAGAAAAGTGAGAAAATCTTAAGTTCGTAAAACTCTAGTTTTTCTTGGTCGGGTCTCGACTAACCTTTGAGACTTGGACCGTTCGGGTCGGGTTCGTGGGTACGAGCCGTCAGAGACCTTCGCGTTTGCAGGGTTCAAGTAAGAGCTCGGGAATCGAGCGAAGCACGCGTCAAGGGTAAGAATGTCTTTTCTTTCTCTCTTTAATTTGTTGTTTAATTAGTGATTGTATGCTTAGTTGTCTAAATTAGTGGACGGGTCCTGGGCGGGTTTCTCTTCCGCGTAGAGTCGGACTCTACGAAACCTAACAGCGGTATCGGAGCCGCGCTCACTTTAATTTTTGTAACTAATAATTAATTAAGGTGATTTAAAATGGATTTAAATTTTCGGTTGTGCTTTCTAATTGGATTAGAAGCTCGTTTTAATTAGTTTTTAATCTCGTATTTTTTATAATTTTGGCTGACGAACCCGGATTTCGACTCAAAAATAGTGATTATTGGGTGGAATCGATGTTCTAAATCGTTTCTCACTCTTTTAGGATTGTCCAGAAGCCAAAATCCACCCAGAAATATGTTTTTCGAGGGTTTTTTCGTTTTTAGACGAAAAATTTTAAATCTTTTAACCTTGATTAATTATTGCATGTTGAAGGTAGATTAAATGCATGATCATCCCTAATCTACTGCAATTATAAACCTCATTAAGCATGTTTATGAAGTCATAATTGGTGCTTAATTTGGTATGTTCATTTTTTCACATAAACTTGAATTTTTCACATTGTTGCAAATAAATTGCTCCTAGTATGAAAGTTTATGGTGAACTTGTAATTTTTGAAGTCCCTAATATTTCAAAGGTCCAATCTTTAATTTTTTATTTGGTTGGAACTTTGAGTACTAAATTCCATGTTGAACTAATTCTTGGATTTAATCATTTTTGTGTTGATTAAAATCCTTAAAGTTCAAAACTTGTGATTGTATTTTGATTAATCTTCATATTGGAAGATGTAATTTTTCAATTTTACACAAGTTATTGTTGGGAAATTTTTTCATTGGATGAAAGGGTTTAATTTTCCAACCCCTTTAATTTTGTAAAATCTCATTATTAATTTACATTTTATTAAATTAATTATGAGAGTAGCCCATCATTTTTTTTAAAGCATCAAAGTAGACCTAAATTGATTTAAAGAATGGTTCTTAAATAATTTAGGCTTGTGCAATACTTAATTTAATTAAGTTGGACTTATTTTAATTTTATTCATGTGCTCTAAATTGATTCTAAAATAAATTTTGAATTAATTTTAGTCACACATATATCGGGATTAAAATCCCGAAACTATAGCACATAAATCGAGGTAAAATCACCTAAAACGTCACCAAGGCTAGCCGGGCTGCTCACGCAGCCCACATGTGGCTGCCTTGGTGCGCATGGTGGTGCTCCCACCTCAATGCGTTGCGGCTGTGTGGCAGGGCTAGTGGTGCGCAAGGGTGCTGCTTGTGATGCGTGGAGCGTGACTGCTAGGATGCTTGCAGGGCTGGTGGGCAGCAAAGCAGCGAGCCCTTAGCAGGCCTAGCCACGCCTGCCAGCACGCATGATGTGATGCTTGCTAGGCATGCTGCCTGCGCACAAGCAGCCCCAGCCATGGCCATAGCGCCTAGCAAGCCTAGCCCCGTGGCTAGGATGCTAAGCACCCGGTCTTGAGTTGGCTCATTTTTCGATGCATGGGCTATGAGTTTTGCAAAAAAATTTCCGTATTTAATTTTATTTAATTATTTTAACGAGGCCAAGCCTCGATTTTCCAGCTCTTGCAAAATTTTAATTTAGACAAAATTTGGGTTAACCGGCTTAATTAATTGGATTAATTGAGTTGGATGCGGAATTTAGTGGAAGCTTCGTTAAATTGCATGAAGTAATTGCGTTTTAATAACTTGAAATGTTAAACAACTTTGACTAGTTTTAATTAGGCGCGTTAATTGGGTTAACCACCTAAGTTAGTTACTATTTCGCGCGCGTTATGCATTGTTACTTGTTTTTCGTTGTAGAATGCATGGGCCATTCACATATAGTGAATGGATAAATGGAAGATATATGTTTCACAGGTTTCGTGAAAATGGCAACTAGTGGGGCCTGATTAGGATAGTAAATACGGACTGCGATCCATTATGTATTTTTGTAAATCTAAATACGGTCTGCGTACCGTTGAGTATTTTTGTACCTTAATATTTAGATTATTCCTAGTCGTAGTAGCTAGTAATTTTTATTTTGGCGAAGATGTCTCAAGTCGGAGTTTCTATGAAGACGAGCCAAGATAAAGACTCTTGAAGATTTCAAGGGGTCATGCTAGTTGCCAAATGCATCTTATTTCATGTTTTCAATATATAATTGTTCTTATATATTCGCAAATGATATGTTAGATGCATGTTTAGGATTTCAAATGTTGCGATGATTAATTGAGTTCACTTAAATCAACCAACATAGAAACCCTAGGTCCCTAAAATATTGAGCTAAAATATGCTATTCCAAGAACAACACTTACCGAACTAATGCGCGTATGTGATGGGCTACGCCAAAGCGAGGCATCACTACTTCCCTAGGAACGTAAGGTATACTAGGTATACAAGTTTTCTTGGTTAAGCTCAACGATATCAGTAAGGAGTCCTTAGATGTCGTGGCAATGGAGATAAAATGTCAAGGAAGCATTAGATGCGACATTTTATCGAACCAAGAGTAGCTTGGAGCTATTAGCAATTGGATTTCTTACCTTAAAATATTAAGTGTTAAAACAAGCCAAAGCATGCTTAATCACTTTTTGATTTTTGGGATCTTGGAATCATTTTATTCTCGCCTAAAAGGGACTAATGTTAATGCGTGGATAAAATGCTCAATAAATTGAAAATTGCATGAACGCTGTAAATTTCAAACTTATTGGTTATGAATGGTTTTTCATTTCAAATTATTGCAGTTGTAGAATCATGTCTGCAAGTAACTCAAACAACCAGTTTTCATTACGCTCAATTCTCGACAAGGAGAAGTTGAGTGGGCCAAATTTTCTTGAGTAGCAAAGAAATTTGCGCATTGTTCTCATGCAAGAGCAAAGGGAATACGTCCTTGATAAGGAAATGCCCGACACTCCAAATGAGGAGGTCACTCAAGCTGCCCTTAACCGATGGCAAAGTGCCAATCGGGATGTCAAATGTATCATGTTGGCCACAATGTCTCCGGAACTTCAAAAGACTTTCTTTGAAAAGGAGACGGCTTTAGAGATCATTTCTGAACTTCAAAACATGTTTCAAGAGCAGGCCCGAACTGAAAGGTTTGAAACCCACAGGCAGATCCTTGAGAGCAAGCTCCAGAAAGGAGAGTCAGTCAGCCCGCATGTTTTTTAAAATGATTGGATTATTTAAGAACATGGAAAGGCTCGATGCTAGGTATTCGACTGAGATGGTAATTGACATCATTCTCCACTCGCTGCATAAAGGCTATGACCAGTTCAAGATGAACTATAATATGCACAACATGGAGAAAACTCTCACCGAGCTTCATGGTATGTTGAAGCAGGCCGAGCAAACCCTCAAGGACGAGGGAAAGCATGACGTGCTCATGGTGAGAAAGGGGAAGCTGTTTAAGCGCTCGGGAAAGAAGAGAAGCTTTAAAGGGAAAAAGAAGAAGAATTTTCCGCCCAAGTCAAATGCTGCTAGGAGTGGCAAGGACAAGACGGTAGCCTTTTCTAAATCCGATTCCGAATGTTTCTATTGCAAGAAGAAGGGACATTGGAAGCATGATTGCCTCAAATTCAAGGAAGATAAGAAGAACGACACCGTTACTTCTTCATCAGGTATTTTTGTTATAAACTTAAACTTCGCTAGCAAAACAATATGGGTATTAGATACCGGATGTGGCTCACACCATTGTTCCAATGCTCAGGGACTAAGGATAAATAAGCGGCTAGAGAAGGGAGAGGTCGAGCTTCGGGTCGGCAATGGAGCAAGTATGTCTGTCGTATCAGTCGGAACTCTCAGTTTGTCTTTGCCCTCTGGGCTTGTTTTAGAACTTGACAATTGTTATCATG